TGGATCTGCCCCTGTATGGGCACATCAGATTGGGTTTAAACGCTATTCTGATAATTTGCCGCGTGCGAACCCAACCGATTGTAATTACTACTGAATGGCTGCTGTTATCATTGATATCCGTAATCTTGACATATGGAATTCGCAAAATAACCGTTGATAAATGCAAACCATCACGCTCAGTTACCACCTTAGTTTGACAATTCTGGCCATGAAATCATATAACATTATTAATGTTAACGAAAGTGTCTAAGATTGGTTTAATGTGTGGAATATGATGAGCCATTACTGTGTGTTTGACTAGTGGCACTTTAGAGGGCAGTGTTCATGTCAGAGTCATCTAAATGTATAACTGTATACTGTATGTGTATGGGTTGACATTAGATATTAGACTGGAATTATAGAGTTTGTTTATAAACTGCAACGTAAACGATCCAGTGTTTTTATCCTGCAACACCGTTGAAAAGGGAATATTGTATTTCTTTATCACAAAACAGAGATATCTTGCAAAGTTTCTCGCTTCCAAAACAAAACTGTAAAATTGTAACACACTCAAGTTACGTTACCTATGGACGTGGTTTCGATTAATTTATAATTTAGGAACTAAAAATTGCGGTCAAATCCCTGAGTAGGTTTATACGGTTATGAATGTAATTAGTATACAGAACAGTGTGACTTGATTACTTTTGAAACTCATGGAGCTAAATTAACAGAGAAGGTATTCTATGAAATAAATTCCACTTCATTTTATCATTAATGATAACTTGAAAGTTACAGTATACCTAAGCGGTAACTATAGTACCTTTATGTGTGGTATTTACGTGAGCTAATCATTCATTGGGGTGTATTTATTGGCAATTTAAGATTTGTTATGCTAGAAGGCCAGTTTTAAAGTGCATTATTATTTATACAGCTGGGACATGTTATTGTGCGTTCGTGTTACAGATCTCCACAAATCAATTCCATGGATATTGAATATTTATCTATGTTTTGTTCAGACAACGTGTGTTTATTTATTTGTTAGGGGTTAACATGTACTTATTTCGTTCTTTTTTTTAATCATGAATACAATTTATTTATGACAGACTGGTTTACGTGCTTTTTAATACGGTAACATCCCGTGGCACGTCAGCAATCATTTATATCAATTGAGAATTCATGAAATGAATACTATACATATCAATTTGACCATATGTCAATTTCTGTTTTTGATGGACGTTTCGGCTGTATTTTTTTTTTTTTTTTTTGCGGGGGTGTAGTATATTTTATTAATTATGTTCAGTATGTAAATTGCATAATTAATAAGGTTGTTTGATATAATATTTAGTCAGTTGATTGTTTCTGTTTTAAATATTTGAATTTTTAAATGTGGATCATCAAACTACTTAAAAACTACAAAATGAGTAATTTTCAATTAACACTCATAATTGTGGCATTTAGCAAGAAATACAAAGTCACATATTTCTGTTCTATAACTTAAGGGAACTAAATTTAAATTTATCAGGCGATTCTTATACTCCATATCGTAGGGGTACCCTAGCATATATTCTCTAGCCCTCTTTTGAATGCTTTCTAATCAGAGAAAAGAAGGAATATTTATTTATTTATTTATTTATTTATTTATTTATTTATTTATTTATTTATTTATTTATTTATTTATTTATTTATTTATTTATTTATTTATTTATTTATTTATTTATTTATTTATTTATTTATTTATTTATTTATTTATTTATTTATTTATTTATTTATTTATTTATTTATTTATTTATTTATTTATTTATTTATTTATTTATTTATTTATTTATGACTGACTGACTGACTGACTGACTGACTGACTGACTGACTAACCCTAGCATATTTAGATGTGTTTTAGGTATCATAGTTAGCCTGGAATTTGGTAAGAAAATCAGTTGTGAAATGTTATCATGGTTGCGGTTAAATATGCTAAACATGGGTGATCTCAGATGACATCAATGTCACTTGTCTGGTGTAGACCTTATGTTTCAAACAAAATCTATTCGATTATGACTCATTATGAATGGTATATGTCAGCTGTAACATATGGAGCAGGATGTGCTCACTCTATTCGATTCAACTGACACCACCACGTGTATTCCATGGGGTCATATATGGTTCGACTATGTATGTAATGGTGTCCTTGTTTGATTGTTTGTCAGACAATAAGAACTGTGCAATCCATCAAGACGTTTTACACGTTTCAGTACATTCAGTACATTACATTGGTCCAACCGATATGTTTTGTTTTTTTTATTTTATTTTTAGCAAACTGAATTGAAAAACAAAGTAGAGGGGGAAATGGGATTGTTGAAGTTGGTGTGTTTTTTATGAGAAGCCTTGGCCCGCAAGATTATTTTGTCATAATGATTCAGTTATTTTCCGCAGGTTATGGCCATTTATAAATCTTTCGTATTTTGTACTTTATTTTGTTTTGTTTTGTTTTGTTTTGTTTTGAGTACTGTAGAATTTGGTTGAATAATAGACAACACACGGGGATTATCTATGATGAGCTTTCGGCCGAAGCGAACAATTTTAGAATTGGTAATTTTTTCCCAAAACAATAACAAGATTCGGGTGCGTGTGACAATCAACTGTTCTACAATTATCAATACTTTAAAATTGCTGTACTAAATCCACAACAATATGGGCACCTGCAACCTATTAAAAACGGTATCTAAGTCATACATTATGTAAGCTCAAATGCACACCACACTAAAGCTGATTTGATTGGCTGAACTTGTGAGAATATCGTTAATGAACCTACAACTGACCAATAAATTGTACATACACAAAACCGATATTTTAGGTAACATGAAACACAGGATTCGAACTAACGATCACATCATTCGTTTCGCTACT